GCCGTATGCGTGTACACAGAATGCTATCGCAAGCGGACGTGCGCACTTCTGCGCAAACGCTTTTGCATATGTCTGTGATCGCCCACGGGCAACGGGATTCCCATCATCAGCTGTCCGGTTTTACCCCAACCCACTAGCGTTGACGCCTCTTGGCCTTCCTTGGACACGCGCGGGTTCCTTCAGAGGAATGGGGGCCGGGTCGGGCCAAGCGCACGTTCACACCCAGCGCTGTAACGAAGAGAAGCCGCGCGGCACAGCAGCATCTCCCGAAGTGTAAGGCGCACGGCGATATGACCAGCAGCATATCTTTTTTCGTCATCGTCGTCACCATGACCATCTGCTCCCCGCACCTCAAGCAAAATCCAGCTCTGACTTTCGTGCACCCTCGGGCCCTCTTCGCGATCTGGCGCTTGCATTCACCGCTCGCCCGCCCAGCATGTGGACGGCGCTGGCGGCTGCCCTCCTCAGCGTGGCGACTCTCGCACGCATAGGGGGCGCTGCAGCTGGTCGCGTGGGTGCAGCGGTGAAGAGCCTGACGCGGGGGGATGCGCACGAGACCCTGACGAGCAACCAGCGCGTCTTGGTGAACTTCTACATGCCACACTGCCGCTACTGCAAGGCCCTCGAGCCCGAGTTCGACGAGGCGGCGAGGGAGCTTCAGGAGGAGGGGTCCCAGACTGTCATGGCCAAGGTGGACGCCGTCAGGGAGGACGGCCTGGCAAGGAATCACAGCGTCGACAGCTACCCCACACTGATTGAACAGATAAACGTCACATCCGCCGACCCCGCTTCAGTCTTGGACACGGTTTGCTGCCAAGCATTTCTGCGACGCGAGTTACATGTTTGTGTTGCATGTCGTAGCGTGTCTTGGAAGGCGAAGTTCAGGGATGAGTCCCGAAGCCCCTTGGCGGCCAGTTCGTGGTCCTGGTCGGGTCGCGGTAGGGGAGGGGATGTGGTGGGGGAAGACTAGGGGGGGAGCAGCTGGGCAGGGACGAAAAGGAGGATCGGGGGTGGGGGTAGAGGGAGGAGGGGGCGGCAGGAGGATCGATTGAGCACTTCGTAAGGCAGGAGGCCGAAACAAGGGGTAAGAGCAGAAGACCGTCAGCTCCGCATTCGGGGCAAGCTCGCTCAATGCGTTCGTCCCACCCGGCCCCTTGACCTCCAAGCTGGGAGGACGGATCTTCAAGGGACTCTCATAAAAAGACAGGCACATGGCCGCGGCTACAGGCTGTCCCGGTCGCCACCCCCTCCGCATGTGTGATGTCCTACCCGACACGTCGGCTCAGCCATGCAAGGCGCTGGCTACCCCAGGTCGACGGAGGGGCGAAACGGGAGGAGGGAAGTTCAAGCAAAAGAGGAAGAAACGGTTGGGGTTCGCGTTGCTGCTGCTGCTGCTGCTGCTGCTGCCTAACTACTCTGGTGGCAGAGCGCCTGAGCCGAATCACGCACGGATCTGCTGCCGAGCCGCACGGCACCTCCCGTGGCGCGTCCTGGCTCTGCACGGCGTTTGTGTGGACGTTGACGGCCGCAAGCCTCGAAATGCTGCTGGATGTGCTGCTGCGGTTCCTGTTTCTTCTGCTCCAGCTCTGTCTCTTTCTTTCCCTTTCTCTCTCTCTCTCTCTATATATATATATATATTTCGCTTTTTTGGGTTGGTTCTCTCTCTCTCTCTCTCTGTTGTTGGTTATCTCTCTCTTTCGTTTTTTTGTTGGTTGTTTGTTTTGTTCTCTCTCTCTCTCTCTCTCGCTATATATATACACACGCATGGGTTGGCAAGCCCCCTCTGGTACTGCTCCTCCTCCAGATGCCCGACGTCATGATTCCGTCATAACGTCGACCCCGAAAGGCCTCGACCAATTCCTAGTGGCATCTTGAGTCGTTTGTCGACGGCCCTTAGGCCCAGTACGTGCCCCCAGAGGTTGGAACATAGCGAATTCATGATTCGAGGGGGTCTGGGCTTGCAGCTTGTCCAGCTGCGCCTTCACGACGCCGAGCCCACGACGTCGGCAAGCTTGCTGTGCTGCCTCTTCCTGGCCTTGCGCTGCTCCGGCCGCTCCCCTTGCACTTCAGGAGGACGGCGTAACTACAGCGCTGGCGCCACTGGCTCCACGAGCGCCCCGTCGGGGAGCGAGGGATCTCTAGGCGTTCGGCCTTTCGTTCTACCATTCAATCGAGCATGTTCCTCTACAGGGGGAATGCTCCAACATATAAAAAAAACAGTCTGGTTGCGTTTTGTTTATTTTTCAAATATGTGCGAATTTGTTTGGGGTATGTTTTATTTTCCGTCCAAAATCCGCCTGTAGGGGGGCATGCCCGACCTAATTCTACCACGTCCACGACACAAGGTGGCTGCAGGCGGCCGCACAACCACGGTGGTCCTCCTGCAAGGCAGGTGCTTGCAGAAGTTGAGATTCCGACTGCCAGCTTCTGAGGGTTGTAGAGGCAGAGGCCTCACGCGCTCTGCCCCACAGGGCACAGGCACACGTGCTTCGCCGCACGAGCCCGCATCGGCGCCTCGCTTGTTTCTTCCAGCTCCTGCGCAGTCTAAGGCGTGCCCTGCCCTGCCGGCCGTCTCAGACTCTCGAGCAGTGGCAGGATGCTGAAGTCGTTCTTGCCGTAGCCGTTCTCGGCGGCGTGCCGATGGGGGAAGCGAGAGGGGAAAGGCCTTTTCAGAAGGCGGCTGGGCTTCTCAAAAGCCCTCCGGCCTTCGGAGGGACCCCCTACGTCTGCAGAGAAGGCTCAGGAAGCCTCCCAGAAGGCTGGAGGCCTACCCAGAGCTCCATGAGAAGGCCCGCCCCCTCTGCTTTGCCCCCTGGGGCGCGGTGCAGCCGTTCGCTGTGACGGACTTCCCTCCTTCGCCAGCCGAGCGACGGACGAAGACGGGGTCGACTGCGTGGACACTCGCGCGTAAGCTTCCCGTGTAAGCGAGGCGACCGCAGACATGGACCAAGGGGCCCGGTCCCACGGGAAATCGCGGATCTCCGCCGCCGAACGGGGCGGCACCGGCCGCAGTTTGGGGCAGGGCACCTCCCCCGATCCATGGACTTGGCGACCGCGCGCCAAGTCCATGGATCGCTAATCCACGTTTGTCAGGAGGAAAAGAAACACACAGACACAATTAATCGGCGATCCCCCAGAAAATATGGGAAAATATGGGAATTGGGGGGGAAGACAAAAACCCAGAAAATATGGGAACATATGGGGATTCTTTGTATTTGTGTGTATTTATTTGTGTGTCCTGGGGCCCCTTCAGTTTGCGCGCCCCCGAGGGAGGTCGCGCGTAGGCGCCCTCGCTTCCAGGGCGGCGTGCCGCGCGGGCGGCGGCCCGCGCAGGCCACCCGCGCGAGGTCGTCTTCGCCCCGTGGGTCGTCCTCGCCGCGGGTCGCCGTCGGCGTCGTCGGCCTCGTCCTCGCCGTGGGTCGCCGTGGGCCGTCGTTGGCGGGGTTTTGGCCGCCGTCGTCGACGACGCCGCCGCCGAGGGCTGTCCTCGTCGTCGCCCGGCCGCGGCGGGGGGCTGCCCCTGCAGGCCGCCGCGCGCCGGCGCGCCCCCCGCGGGGGCCCTCGCGCGCCGCTCTGCGGCGGACTCCTCGCCGCCGCCGGCTGCAGCAGGGGCCCGCCTCTGCGGCCGCCACGCTCTGGCGGCTGCTCTCCGTGGTCGAAGAAGAAGAACAACGCCACAAGCTTGTGGAAGTCGATTACTGGAGAGGAAGCGTGCTGCCAAATCATTTCCAGATGTCTAAAACATGTTGACAAACATATTTTAGATCGATGTTAAAAAACAAGAGAAACATGTTGGACACGTTTTTTATAACATGTTCCGACATTATGAACACACTTTAAATTCAAGGATAGGACTGTTAGGGTGCCCATTGTCGTGGCATCCACAACTCTCCGTGGCCGAAGAAGAAACAACGCCATAAACCATAAGCATAAGCTCTTGGCGCTCCGCGCGGACTTCTTGGATCCGCGCTGGGCCCCGCAGGCGGCGCCTCCAGCTCCGCCCTGGCGCGCTCCGCGCACCAGGGAGGGGGGTCCAGCGCAGATCCAGGAAATCCGCGCGGAGCGCCAAACATTTATGCTCATGGCGTTTTTTTTTCTTCTACGTGAGGGCCATCGCGCGGACTCCCGGAGTGCCCCTCCGAATTGTGTGGTGACAGGCCGCGCGGCGTCCTCGAAAGCCCACGAGACCTCACCGCGCGCTCCGTCACCGCGCGGTTCTGGGACCCTGGAGGCCCCGGTGGCCCGAGACATCCTGGGAGAACGACCTGGGTCCCAGAACCGTGCGGTGACCCCGACTCCCGACCGACTCACCACCCAGTTCGGTTACCACACCGTGTGGCTGGTCCCCGAAGCACGGCCGCCACCCCGTCCGCCGCCAGCGCCATGGCCCGGCGACGGGATCCACACGCCGCGCGCCTGTGTCGGAGCCTGGCCTCGAGCCTGGCTGGCCTCGTGGCCTGGCACCGCGAAGAAGGCCGGGTCACCAGAGGCCTGTTTCTCTGCCGGTCTGGGTCAGGGGCTGGCTGCGGTCCGCAGGCGGGAGGGGGCCAGGGGAACCTGCCGCATTCTTGGCCCTGGGGTCATAAAGAGAGGACCCCCCCGTCCTCTCTCAGAGGGGGGGGGCAGCGCTCCAGGCGGCGGAACATGCATGATGATTTCCCTCTGGTATCGTGGCCCCCAGCCATCGTTTCAGTTTTTGCTGCCTGCTACGATTCGCGAAAGGGGGAGCGAGGAGGAGGAGGTTCAGCAGGCACTGCACGGGGTGGCGGCAGCATGTCCAAGGAGGGGGGGGGAGAGGGCGGAGTGCTGAGTGTGAGGAGGATATGGGGACGAGGGCGATGATGAGGATCAGGCACGCAATGAGGCGGGGGAGGAGCCGAGGGAAGCGGGAGGATGGCGAGGAGGATGAGCAGTTGAGGGAGGTGTGGGGCCGGGGGAGAAGCAGGAGGAGGAGGAGGAGCAGGAGCAGGAGCATACCGAGGACCGGTTCGGTGATCGATCCCACGCGCCCGCGTGTTCGAGACGGATCGGCGGATCTATTTCGTCAACGGCCAGGAGGAGAGGAGGCTGTCGGAGAAGCAGCGCACCAGGGGCGCCCTGAAAGACTTTGTCTACAAGCGCGAGCGACCGGCGGTGCAGGAGCTGGGCGAGGGGGAGGTCGACACCTTTCTCGAGGACCCTTTCCTCCCTCTCCTCACCCCAAAGAAGTGTCCACCCTCTCCTCGCCTAACAAAAGTGCGTGGGCAACGCACAACGATAGTTCGTGGGCTCTTCCTCGCCCCATCCTCTTCTGCTGGAGCTCACTCTTCCTCATCCGCCTCCTCTCCTCCTCTCGTGTGTGCATGGGCCTTGGCCACGCTGGATGTCACCCCTTTCTCCATAGATCTGGTAGGTCCACATGTTCCGCCCCCTCCTCCTCCTCGTCTGGCTCATCCTCCTCCACCGCCCCCCTCCCAGCACGCAGGGAGGGAGAGGAGGGATGAGGAGGAGGAGGAGGAGGAGGAGGAGGAGGAGGAGGAGGAGGAGGAGAAGCAGGAGGAGAGTGAAGGAGGAGGAGGAGGAGGAGGATGAGGAGGAGGAGAGGAGGAGGAGGAGGAGGAGGAGGAGGAGGAGGAGGAGGAGGAGAGGAAAACGAGAGGAGGAGGAGGGGAGGAGGAGGAGGAGGAGGAGGAGGAGGAGGAGGAGGAGGAGGAGGAGGGAGGAGGAGGAGGAGGAGGAGGGGAGGAGGAGCAGGAGGTTGGAGGAGGAGGAGGAGGAGGAGAAGGAGAAGGAGGACGTCCTCTTGCTCCCCCGTCACCCGCCACTCCTCTTCCCGTATCCCTTCTTGAAACGTTTGGGAAGTTTGTTGAGACATCTGGGGACTGTGGGCCTCGGGAAAACTCTGAGAGGAGCGGACGTGTTCATCCTCCTCTTCCTCCTCCTCATTCTCCTCTTCCTCCTCCTCCTCTTCCTCCTCCTCCTCCTCCTCCTCCTCCTCCTCCTCCTCCTCCTCCTCCTCCTATTCGGCAAAGCACTGCGATGCGCACGCGCAGTTTTCGGATGTAGCCCCGTCTGGCCTCGATCGGATCAGGGTACGGTCGCGTGTCGCGCCTTTGGTTCTGGCCCGCGACGCCTCGGCGCGACATGTTAAGCACGGCCCAGTCCCCAAGCGTCAACGTCCCGAGCCATTCGAAGTCTGCCGCCCCGCGATGGTCGCAGGTCATGGCGTGTCGCCCAGGCCGCCGCCGCGACACTCTAAGTTAAAGCTCCAGACCCTAGTCTTGGGCGTTCGGACTCAATATCTACGCCATAGTGCGGACAATGTCCACGGGCTCCAGCAGAGACAGCGCGGCGGTGCTGAGCCCTGCACGGGCCACAGCCTTGGGGGGCAGTGTCAGGCCAGCCCAGTTTGCCTTCAGGAGCTGTCTGTGTGCAACCCCAGGCTTAGTTCCTCAGCCGCCCGATCCTATTCTGATCCTCCAGGCTCGCGGAAGAAGCACGCTGACCATGACCAAGATGTCGCGGGATTTGGCCGGGCGCCGATTTTGGCCGACTCGCGAGGAGGATCCACGAATGGACGGTGACCAAGATGGGCGGCGACCAAGATCAGCACCGACGTTTCCACGTTCCGCCATGTGAGCGACGCAAGAACACCAGGTCGATATCGCCGACATTCGCGCGTAAGTTGGCCGCGCAAGGTCGCGCGTAAGCTCCGTGGTGTTCATTGTAGCGTGCCCCGTTGTGCCATCTTGCGTATCACCGTGTCTTTTCGTCGCTCACTTGTCTTTATCATCGTGCGTTCCTCCTCTGACTCCTGCAGGCTGTGGGAGCGGGCTCCTTCGCGCTGGTGGCGCGCGTCAGGCCCAAGTCCGCCAGAGCCAAGGCCTACCTGAAGGCCTCCTCCTTCTCTCTCTCCATCTCTCTCTCTCTTCATTCCCCACTGCCCCCCTCCTCACCCCCCCCTCGTCCACAACCTTCCTTCGCCTCACATTTCTGGAGGACACCTGAGGGGCTCGGGAGAACCATGCTTACACTGTCCTGAAGCCAGAGCTTCGGACCCAGAAGGAAACAAAGTCTTGGTCTGAGGGTAGTGCTCGGCGCAAGGCGTTTTGGCCCAGGCTCTGCAAAGGCCTCTGCCCCAAGAGATCGGGGGTTCGTGCAGACCTGGATGGTCTTGAATCGGCCGCCTGTGAGGCGGCTCTGTGGCTCTTGATTTCAGAACGTAGACCGTCTCCCCCTTCGTCTTCCCCCTCCTCGTCCCTCTCCTCCGAGTCGACCCCCCCCCGCGCCTCCCCCACCCCACCTCCCGTGCCCTCCTCCCTCCTCTCTCAGATGCAGTGTTCGGCGCACCGGGCCATCAAACAACTGCTTTGGATGACAATCGGTATTTTGTGAAGGGGGTCGAGAGCTCGAGCTCCGTCGGGCGCTTCGAGGGCTCACGCCGTGCACGCCGAACACGACGTCGAAGGTATTGCACCCCTCCCCCTGCTCCCGCTCTGACATCCTTCTCCGGGTCCTCCTTCTGGTGCTGAGTCTCCTTATCTGCCTCCCTCGACCGTTCCCCTGTCGACCTTCCAACTTATCGTCCCCGCTATCCTTTCTTGCTTTCCCTCAGTATCATCCCTTCTCGCCCTTCATCCGCTTCTAATTCCTGTCCCCCATGCTGATCCTCACCCTCCTCCCTTTGTCCCATCCCTTCTCTCATCTCTCCCTGCTCTCTTCGCTTCCCCACTACACGGTAATTAATCGATCCTCCTTCCTTCCATCCGTTCTTCCCTCTTTCCTATTACACGCTTTCCTGCCCCTTAACATTCCCTACTTACTCCCTCCCTCCTTCCTTCTCCTCCTCCTCCTCCTCCTCCGCCGCCTCTACCTTGCCAGAGGCCGTCGAGCTTCTGCTGGATTTCCACAAGGAGAATATCTCTTGCGCGGTGGGCCGGGGACCGCCCACCCACCCACCCCCCAGCGCGTCTTCTTGGCTCATCCTCAGACCTCCAAGCTCTTCGCACGATCAAGACGTAGGCTGTTTCGTTGCTTTCGGCGTCGGGGCGCCCTCGACGGGACCGGGGACCTTCAACCATCGACCGAGGATGCAGTCCCGATCCCCGGGAAGTCGTCCAGAGCTCCGGGGACCCCGCGCTGGAAAAGTGATGGCATCGGACAACTGCCCACACCTCTGGAGAAAGCGAGGGGCCTCCTCCACCCGACCCCTTCTGCCGCTCTCCGCCCCTGGCCCACCCGGCCCACCTCGTCCGCCAGCTCCACCTCCCTGTTCCGCCTGGCTGCCCCCCCTTGCCTCATCGCCCGCGCCCCTCTCTCCTCCGCCTCCTCCCCCTGTGTCCGGCTCGCCCTCCTCCCGCCTATGCTCCCTCCGAGTCCGCCCCCTGCTTTCTACGCCCACGACGCGCGGCCCCCCGGGGCTCCCGGCCGCCTCCCCCTTCGCCAGGCCTTCGGCCCCAGGGATGCGCTGCCGAAGGTCCCCCCGGGGGCTCGGCCGCGGGCCCCGGGAGGCCGAGGTCGCGAGGAGGTCGGGGCCCCGTGTCCCCTGCCGTCTCCGGCGGCGGCGAGGCCGGCGGCGGCGGCGGCGGCGCCTCGGCCGCGCCAAGAGGCGGTCCGGCTGCCCCGCGGCGCGGACGCGAGGAAGGACGCCACGCTGGCCATGTGGCGCCCGGGCTTCCAGGCGCCCGCCTGGCCGCCTCCTCGGCCGTCCTCGCCCTCTGCCGTCCAATACCCCCCTGCGGTCAGGAGCTCTTGTCTGCGTAATTAGCGCGCCGCGCCGCCGGTTCTCGCCCGGGTACGCTTCGGCGCGGCGCGCGGACCTTTTTTGTTCCAGCCCCCGAGCGTCAGCGTCTCGAGCTCCTCCCAATGCCCCAGCCCCTCGAAGCGGAGCGACACGCCATCCGCTTGCAAGGCATGGCGTGTCGCCGGGGCCGCCGCCGCGACACGCTTACCAAATGTTCCCGTCCGTGTGTACCACCTTCGGGCCACACGCTGGAGCGGACTGCATCTGCCTCGCCGCCGTCGAAAAAAGGCACAAACTTCGGCCTGAGACGCGTATCTAAGAGGGGTCCGCCCTCACGCATTCGTGGGCGCCGCTTGACCGCGGCAGGCAGACTGTGCGCTTGGAGGCCCGATGTGGCCTCAAGAGGGGCAGTCCAACCCGTGGCCTGCACTCGGGGCTCACGATGCTCTATTGCTGCTCTGCGCGGACAGATGCTCGACAGCAACGGCACCAAGGGCAAGAGGGCAAGGAAGCGTCGCAATGCCGACCAGGCGCGTCGCCGCAGCCGCCGTTCTGCAGTCAACCCGGATGGTTAGGATGGGCAGCCTTCCCAAGGGTACCCTTGCATCCTTGACTCCTCGGCCCATCCTCGGCCGCTTTCGCTGGCCACACCCCGCTCGAAAAGCCTCGCCTTCCACGGCACGTGCACCCTCATCGCGCATCTTTCCTGTACGGGTCGACTGTCTACGCGTGCGATGGCACTGCTCCTCGGCTTGTCGCCTCGCCCCGCGCGGGCGCCAACGTGGCCGTGGCAGCGTGACGTCCGTGGCGGACACGGCCCCTGGCGCGAGACGGAGCGCGCGCGCTCTGCAAAACGAGCGCCCCACCCTGCGCAGGCGGCCACCGTCCCCCGCCCCGGCCACTCAGAGAGGACGCCGCTCCCCAGAGGTGCGGCGCCGCAGCGGCGGGCGGCGACTCGGCCCTGTAGCTTCTCGGGCCTGGCAGGGCCACCGGCCTCCTCCCCGTACCTCCGGCGGCGGCATGATCTTGCGCCCTGGCCAGCTGGCCTGGAAGGGTCCTGGAGACTGCTTCTCAGCAGCTGAGATCATCGGAGGTGACCGTGACCTGGAGTCGGTGCGGCGCCAGTGCTTCCCGTGGTCTCCCGATGTCTCCCAGTGTAGCCCGTTGTCTCTCGTCGTCTCCCGGTGTCTCCCCGTGCCTCCCGTTGTCTCCCGTTGTATCCCTATCTCTAGTTCGATCCCATGCGCTCGAAGCCTAGTCGTATCCCGGCTATCCCAGATTATCCCATATCCGTTTCCGCATACTGTTATATTGTATCTCGATCCCCTAGCACGAGATCCTTATATGATTCATGTACATGTATCCTTGTTTCCTCTAGCCTTATCCCTATCCCTATCCCTATCCCGAGGCCTATTTTCAGAACCCTATCCAGATCCCCTAGCCCTACATCCCTATTCCCTGTCTGTTTGGTCTATGTCATATTATTGTTTTATGATGTGGTCACTCTCGGGGTCTCCGTCCATGTCCCCTCTCTCTGGCCCATGGTGACTAGACCTGCTTAGGGTATTATGCCGCAATGGTGTAGTTTTAATCCGCATGGTGTTCTTGGGTTTCGGCCTCTGGAACCCCTCATCGCGCCCCGGGCCCATCAAACATGGAGTTGGGACGAAAGACTAATTGCCGCCCAGTAAGCTGTCGGGCCTCTGGAGCCCGCATGTTGAAGACATCAGATCGGCGGATGTCGGCGCGTTCTCCTCGCCGGAGCAGCGTGTATCGGCCCAGCGAGGACAGGGATAAAGTACTTCCAGAGCGCTCTGGAACGCTCTCAGAGCGTACCGGAACGCTCTGAGAAGGCCGCGGCGCCCGAGACATCCTCGAGAACCGCCAGAGCTAAGAGATCCCCGATTCCCGATTGGTCCCGGTCCGATCTTGTCCGTGTCACGGCCTCGTTAGTGAGAGGCCACCGATTCTGCCGAGCCGCCGGCAAGAACTCCTCCACCCTTGGCCTGCACCGCCTTGGTCGGTCGCCTGGGGAGCAGCATGAGGCAGAGTCTCTATTCTCTTCGGGCATTGCCAAGGTCGGCTGCACGTGTCTGCGGCCTCGCGGGTTGGGCCCTCTGGGCCGCGACCCCGCGAGTACGCGGCGTTGTTTTCGCGGGTACCGGCCGCGACCGGCGTTTTTTCGCGGCTGCCCCGCACGGAACGCATCCTCGCGCGACCGCGTGTCGGCGGGATTGCGCCACAGAATCCAGACCGTGAGGGCGCGGATCCGGATATGTTCGCCGCTCGTGATCCTGGAAGCCAGGGGGGGGGGGGATTTTTGCCCAACCGGCTTGAGGAGGTTCAGGACCCTTCTTTGGCAGCTCTCAGGGTCTCTGGGAGTCCTGAGGAGTCCAGGTGTTTTTTTTTTTTTTCCTTTGGAGGAGGTGCCGTCACCCCTCAGTGGCGACTCCCAGGTACAGAGGAGACCCATGCCAAGAAACACCCTGCTTGCCTCCAGGGTGCCCTGGGTTTCTTCGGTTTCGACGGTTTTGCCATGGAAAGCGTGACGCTCCCGCCCCCGAAACCATAATGGACGTCCTGGGGAGGAGGATGAGGAGGAATGAAGCAGGAAGAGGATGAGGACGGAGTAGGAGGGAGGCAAAGGGAGGAAGAGGAGAACAACGCGGAGGGTGAGGATGAAACAGAGGAGCGGAGGAGGCTGAGGAGGAGTAGGAGGAGAGATGACAAGTGAGGGGGGGACGGCGGAGAGGACAGAGGAGGAACTGGAGAAGGAAGATGAAAGAGGGAGGATGGACGGGGGATGGAAGGCGAAGCATGCGGAAGAAGCGAGACGGGTGAACCATGATGAGGATTTAGCATCAGCAGCAGCACGAGCAGGAACATAGGTAATTGATTAGGTGCGTGGGGAACAATTCGGAGTCATGGTGAGTGAGGAGGACTGTCGAGGGAGAGAACGAGAAGGATACGAGTATGGCGGAGGAAGAGGAGGAGGAGGCTGCCGATGGGGAGGAATAAGACTGGGGATTTGGGGAGAGGTAGGACAAGGACGAGAAGGACGTCCGGGAGGCGGACCAGGGCACACAATCGGTCGATCGCGAGGACGAAGGACAGACAGAGAGATAGAGAGAGACAGAGGGAGTCGACGCAGCAGGAAGAGGGAGATGCTGCCAGGCGCCCGACGCGGAGTACCTGCATTACGGCGAGTCCTGGCATGCGGACAGCATCGTTTTGTGGGCTAAGCGCGCGACCTATCCAACTGTTGGCTCCAGGCTCTCCCCCCCCGGAGACACGGGTTGCGTACCTTCTCCTTCCCTTCCCACTTGACGCGTTCCAGAGAAGGGCCTCGTCTTCGGTGCACCACCGCCTTCGGCGGAAGTCAGCGGAAGTAAAACGGAGACATGTCCGCTCGCAGGCGGAAGGTGGCGGAACTAGAAGCAAGATGTCCACATTTTTGAATTGATTGTTTCCGGGGTCGGCCACCTCTTACTTTGTACCCCTCCCTCCTCCTCTCCCTTCTCTCACCCCCCGTCCCCCACCCTTCCCTCCCATGCCCTGCCCCATCCTCCTCCCCATCCTCTCCTTCTCCTCCCTGCTCTCGTCCTGGCCTCATTCTCCTCGTCCTTCCTCCTCGCCCATCCTGCTCTCCCCTGCTCTTCCCTCCCGTTGCCCTCCAAATCTCTGTCCTCCTTCACACCCCCACAGTACGCAGGCACATACAAAATGCGAAATCGGCCAGGCACATACCATACGAGATCGGCCTGCCAGCGGGTGCCCCATGGGATTTTCTTAACTGTCCCCCGATGGTCTCAGGAACCCGCAGCAGCGCTGGACCACACCTGGAGCGTCAGAGATCGAAGAACAACTCTGGCCCACCATTTCTGATCCAAGATTTCTTCTCGTATGTGCCTGTTGCGTGCGTCCCCGGTCCCGCCCTTCTAGCCGCCCCCCCCTCCTCCTCCTCCTCCTCCTCCTCCTCCTCCTCCTCGTCCTCCTCCTCCTCCTCCTCCTCCTCGTCCACCTCCTCCTCCTCCTCCTCTTCCTCCTCCTCATCGACCTTCTAGCCGCCCTCCCCCCTCCTCCTCCGCCCTGCCTCGAGGAAGAGGGTCGAACACCTGAGGAGGTTGGCGCAGGGCCTCGCTCAGGGCGCGCGCGCGCGTCGAAGATCCGTCCACGCCCAGGCCAGGGAGCGGACCGGCTTGGGCAGGCAGGCTAGACCCCTCCCCCTCATTCCCCCTCCTCCTTCTCCTCCTCCCCCATCCCCCTCCCTCCCACTCCTCCCTCCTCTCCTCCTCCTCCTCCTCCTCCTTCTCCTCCTCCTCCTCCTCAACCTTCTCCTGCTCAACCTCCTCCTCCTCCTCCGCTCCTCCTCCTCCTCCTCCTCCTCCTCATCCTCATCCTCATCCTCATCATCATCATCATCATCATCATCATCATCATCATCATCATCATCTCATCATCATCATCACTCGTCCCCCCTCCTCCCCCCCCCTTCTCCTCCTCCTCCCTCCTCCTCCTCCTCCTCTCCTCATCCTCCTGCTTCTCCTTCTCCTCCTCCTCCTTCTCCTCCTTCTTCTCCTCCTCAATCTCCTCTTCCTCCTCCTCCTCCTCCTCCTCATCCTCCTCCTCCTCCTCCTCCTCCGCCTCCTCCTCCCCCATACCCCTCCTCACCACTCCCCTCCCCTCCTCCCCCCCCTCCTCCTCCTCCTCCTCCTCCTACTCCTCCTCCTCCTCCTCCTCCTCCTTCCTCCTCCTCCTCCTCCTCCTCCTCCTCCTCCTCCTCCTCCTCCCCCTCCTTCTACTTGCTACTCCCCCTGCTTCTCCTCCTCCTCCTCCTCCTCCTCCTCCTTTTCCTCCTCCTCCCGCCTCCATTCCTCTTCCTTTGAAAACAATTACTCCCTGTCGCACCTCGATGCCTTCTTGAGGGCGGTCTGGGCGTGTCGCCTGAGACTTCCACCATTCGTGACCCTGAAGTTTAAACATTGATGACAGCTTCACAGATGGAGGGCAGGTCGTTTTCAAAATGTAGCTCTCGCCTCACGGATTGAGGGCAACTTGTTTTCGAAATGTTGTTCTCGCCTCAGCGCCGCGCACATTCGCCTTAAACATTTGATAGACTTCACGGGTTGAGGGTTGAGGGCGGGTGATTTTCAAAATGTGGTTCTCGCCTTTGCGACGCGCACATTCGTTTTACGAATGTGTAAGAGGTTCGCGGATTGAGGGCGGTTCCTTTTCAACATGTGGATCTCGCGTTAGCGCCTCGCACACTCGTTTTTACAATTTTCAGAAGTTTCACAGATTCCCATGGTCAGGGAGCCAGAAACGATGTTGCGGAAGGATTCAGGATGATGAGGGTGCAAAAGCTACATTGGTTCGTTGCGTTGGAGTTCCAGGGATGGTGCTCTGGCACGGTTCAAGATCGTCACGAGGTAACAGTTAGGTTGATCCGTGGAATTCGAATCCCGAGCACAATGTTTTGGCATGAATCAGGATCCTCAGACGGTTGTCTGCCAACGAGGCAAGTCCTTCAGTGGAGATGAACCGTTGTAGGGGCCTACGAAGAGGGAGCTTGGAGGGAGGGTTCATTCCAGCATCGTTGATTACTCTTGGGTTTCCACTGGTCTTCCTCCTCCTCCTCCTCCTCCTCCTCCTCCTCCTCCTCCTCCTCCCCCGTCCCCCCTCTCCCCCATGGGGGCTCACTGGAGCGCCGGGTGCGAGACTCCTCCTCTTCCTTGAGGCCTCGCCACAGCCTGGTGCCTGTGGGCCTTCGCGGGCAGGCTGGCGAACGATCAGATATGTTATGAGGGCTTCGTGTCTCTGTCAGCGACTCGGCCCGGGCCGAGGGGTCGCCCGCAAGGGTGCGACTTTCCCTCGGGGTCGGACTTGGCCCACAGGGGTGCGCCTCTGCCCACAAGGGTGCGACTCTACCGGGTCCTCCTCCTCCTTCTCCTCCGCCTCCCGCCCCAGGGTTTTTGTCGATTCGAGTCGAGTCGAGTTCGAGAAGTCCGATGTCGATTCGATCGGGCTCTGAATTCCGACTCTGGTTTGGCCTTCCGCGTTGCTGCCTCGGCTTGGACCAACGGGCGTCTATTACGATGTTTTCCGATCTGTTTGCCGATCTCTTGAGATTCGATACATCCCGATGGCCGAATCCTTGTCCCGATGCGATGTTGGGCCATCCTGCGTCTGTCGGCCCCCAGGTTCTTTGGGTCTGCTCTCATGGAAGCTTTGAATTCCACCGACAGTCTTATTGCTTGGTGTTCAGCGGCCGTCAGCGGGGAACAGGGGGTAATTAGTGGTTTGTTGGCAAAGGGCGTGTGCTGCTGCTTGCCGCCGGCTGGCTGCCGCTATCAGTTTGCCGCCAGCTGCCGCTGTCTGCTGCGACTCCGCCAACGCCCTGACCAAGACACAGGCTTCCATACCAACGGACGGAAGTCCGGAGGGAAACCTCGACACAGGCACCTAGAAGGACCGATTACTGGGAACCTGCGGGACATGGAGGGGAAGGCGAAGAACCCCAGAACAGCTAGGAGCAAACACTGGGAGCTCTGGGACCTGTGCCGTTCCGTTTTGTGCGCCTCCCGGAGAGGAGGAGGAGGAGGAGGAGGAGGAGGAGGAGGAGGAAGAGGAGGAGGAGGAGGAGGAGATGAGAGGAGGAAGAAGGAGGAGGAGGAGGAGGAGGGGAGGAGGAGGAGGAGGAGGAGGAGGAGGAGGGAGGAGGAGGAGGAGGGGAGGGAGGAGGAGGGAGGGGGGGAGGGAGGAGGAGGAGGGAGGAGGGAGGAGAGAGGAGGGAGGAGCCCCCTTGCCAGCGAGGTTCTCCCTCGCGAAGTACTCGGCCCAGGCCGTCGAGGAGCTGGGCGGCTCAGCCTCCGTGGTCCTGCTGGCCAGCGAGCGCGACGCCCCCGCCGCCGCGGGCGGCGCGGAGGGGCTCCGGGCGCGGCTGGCGGAGGCGGTGCTGCCCCTCGCCGCCTCCGGCGGCCTCGGGGACCGCGGCGCACCGGGGCCCCCGCCAAGCAGGGGAGGTCGGGGTGCTCTTTGGGTTTCTTCATATAAGCGTTGGGGGGGGGTACCTCTCCGGAAGGGAGTCAACCTCGCCTCGTCGCCGCGCCGCGACGGGGGTCGGAGCGACTTCGGCGCTGCGGCGGCTGCCCACGACGGGGGTCGACGTGGGGCTGTCGGCGGGGGTGACGCCCCCCCGACGCTGATTAAGAAACTCGGAGTACCGATGCCGCTATACAGTCAACCCACATGGTAAGGATGGACAACCTCCTCAAGGGTACCCTTGCATCCTTGCCCCTTCGGCCCATCCTCAGCGACTTTCGCTGGCCAACCTTGTTAGAAGAACGCTAAAACGGTTCTCCAAGCCCCTTGCATCCTTACCCCGCATCCTTCTTATACGGGTTGGATGTACCCTTCCCTCGCCTTCCCATTTTTAGGGGGCCTCTTGGGCGGCCCTCGTCGCCGCGGCGGGGTTTGCCTCGACATTCTGGTCAGGACGCGTCCAAGGACAGCTCCGAGGAGCAGCGGCATCCCACCCGAAGCTCAGGGGAGTCGTGGGCGGAACACACACAAACACAAACACAAGCACAAGCACAAGCACAAACACAAACACACACACACACACACACACACACACACACACGGTCGGGAGCTTTGGGACAGCGTGTTGCTCCGCCGGTTCTGGCCTACCATGCTTTGGCGAAACGCGCTGTCCATGTCCCGGCCCCGCAGCGTCAACGTCTCGAGCCTTCCGCCCCGCGGAGCGGAGCGGCACGCTATCCGCTTGCATGGCACGCGTGTCGCCAGGGCCGCCGCCGCGACACGCGAAGCCAAAGTTTCCGACCGTGTCCGCATCCGCGGGCTCGCGGGCTGGGCCCCTGGGCGGCGACCGCGCGGATACGGGGCGTTGTTTCGCGGATGCCTCCTCGCGGAACGTATCCGCGCGACCTCGTATCCGTGGGATCGCGCCCAGCAGTTCAGACCGTGAGGTCGCGGATACGGATATGTTCGCCGCTCCCTGAGGAGGGCGAGTTGAGACACGACCGAGCACGAGAACATGGCATCGGAGCTCCGCGCGGATTTCTCGGATCGGCGCTTGGGACCCCCTGGCGGCGTCTCTGGCGCCGCCCCAGGCGCCCTCCGCGCGCCAGGGAGGGGGTCTAACACCGATCCAAGAAATCCGCGTGGAACCCTGAGAAATTGTTGTCGCCCTCATGCTTAGTGGGTTTCTGGTTTTCTTCCCAGCCGCGTCCCACCCGCGAAGCTCACACCTCACCTCCCCCTTCTCTCTCTGTCTCCCTCTCTCTCTCTCTCTCCTTCTCACATACACTCGCGCGCGTATCAGTCGCAAACAAACAAGCTCTCACGCACACACGCACACATGCATCAGATTCCACGCGCAGCCAGCCGCGCACAGACTTCTAGGTAGTCAAATCAATTTATTTTCGGTGGCGTTGCAACCATCGAGATCCGAATTCGTTATATACAAAGTATGTGAGCAGATGTGTTGAAATAGTAGTTTTTCTGTTTTTGCTGAGACGAGTCACATACATTAAGTGTCTTGATTCCGTCTTTCGAGATCTCGAAATCTCTGTGAACATTTGATTTACGGCGCAGCGTAAGTAATTAAACAACGTATGATCGCCAACATGTTCTATCATTTTTCATTTACGAGCACGGGTTGTGTATAAACATTAGCGGTTGTTTGTAATTGGAAGTATTGGTGGTTTTGCTTAACAGACAAGGAAAAGCAACACGCAACTACTACCAAAGAGCACAACATATGAACATGCTAACAACGAGACGCAAGACAATCAAGCACAGCAAGCAGAAGCTGAGAGAAGAATTTTTGTGGATGAATTCGGTATACATTCTCTGATTATATAAGACCATGTTTATTCGTCGGTTCTAAGAATCTCGCTTTACACGTTATTGTGGAGTTCTCCTTATGATAAAATGCGCGCAGAGGTATGTCCGTAGTCATTCGGTTCAGTCTTTCCGTAACGCATTCTGTGCCATGGTTCATTTCCCAGGCTGCAGCAAGCGTTTATTTTAGATGATTGTGCAAAGCGGTTTCAGGGCATTTTAGATTGGAAAAAGGAGAGTCGTGATGCAACACATGTGCTACAGACTGTGGAGCAGAAGAGAAGTCAAGACCCGAGAGTTTTAGAAGGTGACGAATTCATCTACAGACGCGTTATTCATTGCTTGTCTTGGGTTATTGCGCGGGCTTTTTTTTCAACTTTCCTCAGAAGGCAACATTGGAATATAACCAGTTTTGGATTACAGGAAGGAGATTATTCAGGCCCTAAGAGTGGGGCGGAAGAGGCGACACGAAGACATGGCTTTTAGCTTCACGGGATGTTCTCAGCCGCTTGAAATTCCGCATACCGACAGCTGGCGTTCATTGATTGGCGTTGCAGCTGTCCCCTGGAGATACGCTCAACAAGACGTGTATGCTTGATTTAGCGTCGTATTGCGCGGTAGTTTCTCCACATCAGCATCATGATGTCACGCGGGTTAGTGGCGCAAAATGGAAGATAATGACGTGAGGGTTTGAAGCAACATTTGAGTTGTTAAAGGCTATCATTCAAACATTGTGGGTATGTGCCCGATCGACGGACTTGATTCAGTTGGCCATTTCGAAATCTGATCAGAGTATTCCTTGCGTTGAAGATTACATCGGCCATTCAGGAAGAGTGTCTAAGGAAACGTTGCCAGGGCGAGAACGATTGGAACGAACGAATGCGTCCACGGTCGCGCGATTATAGCATTAATACGTCATCGTTGTAAGGTTCTTGTGGCCGTTTCATTTTGCGCGCTGCCCCCGTCGTCTGCGATGGAAGTTTAGGCCGTGCTCTGCGTCGTCCTATTCAGCCCGCGCGCTTTACATTGAAACAGCGTAAGGATGCTTGACATGTCCTTCGTCAACATGCCATCGAGACGTTTTCATTATTGGGTCCAGCCGACGCCATCAATTGCGACACTTGGAAGGAATTACAGCGCGTCGCCTCGAGACGCGATACGTTGGCGTTATTTTTAAAGTTTCGATGCAGGTTGGAGAGGTAAACAACGGGATGCGCATGGTAGTTCTGAGCATACAAATGGCGAAGCTATGCGTATATTTATTCACCCATTTCGACAGTTGGAAACAAGAACCGTTGACAAGGACGCAGGCGAAGTGATGGGCAGAGTTTTCGAGATGTATCACGCATATTTGGGTGGCCTCCAGCCAGCGCCGCCGATCCGAGACGCTCCGGACGCTGGCGGTCGACGCGACGGCGACGACGATGACGACGACGGCGACGCCGACGACGGACCACTTACGCATAACGGGAGGAGGGGGGCGGGGGGCGGGAGGAGGGGAAGGGGGGGGGGGGGAGGAGCGAGGAGGGAGGAGGGAGGAGGGAGGAGGATGGGGAGGAGGCTGAGGCGGGAGAGGAGGAGGACGAGGAGGAGGAGGAGGAAGGGCAGGAAAAGCAGAATGAGGACGGAGGAGGGAAGAGGATGAGGAGAACGAGGATGAGGTCGAGGATGAGAACGAGGACGTGGTCGATGATGATGATGGTGATGATGTCGATGCGGATGCTGATGCTGCTGATGATGACGATGATGATGGTGGTGATGATGGTGGCGTTGATGATAATGATGATGCTGACGCGGAGGAGGAAGACGAGGGGGAGGATGAACAATGAATGACATAATGATGATGAGATGCTGACGATGATGATGCTGTTGATGATGATGAAGAGGAGGGGGGATGAGGATGAGGATGAGGGATATGATGGTGATTATGATGATGATGGTGATGATGATGCTGATGCTGATGCGGATGCTGCTGCTGTCGACGATTATGGTGATGACGCTGATGATGATGATGATGATGATGATGGTGATGATGATGACGATGATGCTGATGCGGATGTCGACGATTATGGTGATGACGCTGATGATGATGATGATGATGATGATGACGGTGATGACGATGACGAGGATGGGATGCTGGATGATGATGAGGAGGAGGAGGAGAAGGAGGAGGAGGAGAAGGAGGAGGAGGGGGAGGAGGAGGGAAGAGCAGGGGGGGGGGGAGGAGGGGGAGGAGGAGGAGGAGGGGGAGGAGGAGGAGGAGGAGGAGGAGGTGGAGGAGGAGGGGTAGGACGAGGAGGAGGAGGAAGAAGAAGGGGGAGGAGGAGGAGGAGGAGGAGGAGGCCAGGACCGGGACCGAGAGCCGGGACCGGGGGCTGGGATCGGAGCCGGGGCCGGGGTTGGGGTCGGGACTGGGACTGGAGCCGAAGCCGGGACCTGGGCCACCCTGACTCCGGATCCGCCCTGCTACTTTGGGGAAATTCGTAAGTGGGGCTTGGAATTCCCGCCTTACTTTTCAAGCCCCGCTGATGCCAATTTCCGCCCTACTTTTCTGTTGCTGTTTCTGTGGGTTTCCGCCTTATTTTATGTTGGGTGCAGCAATTTCCGCCCTACTTTTTCGGCTCCTTATAGGTGGATTTCCGACGCAATTTTTATTTGGAAAAGAAAAAAAAGTAGGGCGGATCCGGAGTCAGGGCGCGGCCAAAACCGTGACCGGGAGCCCGGGCCCATGGCCGGAACCGGAGCCAGGGCCGGGGCGGGAGCGGGCTGGGAGCCAGGGCCAGGGCCGGGGCCAGGGCCGAAGCTGGGACCGGGGCCAGGGCCGGGGCCACGGCTGGGGCCGGGGCCGGCCAGGGCCGGGGCCGCGACCGGTTGTTATCGTGGCCCGCCGTTGGGTGTTAGTGTTCGTGTGGCCCGTTGGGTGTTATTGCGGCCTGTCGCGGGGCTGGATGGGAGTTGTTGTGGCCCGCGCTGGCCGTTCAATAACATGTAATATGTAAAGGTATCTCGTGTTAGATCTGGAAAGGCTCCCAACCCTTAAGGGAACGCGTTCCCGCTGAGGCAAAAGTGGCCACAGTAAATCCCACCTGGAACCATAGTAGTAGTAGTAGTAATAGTAGTAGTAGTA